CAATGATTATTTTTAAGTTAATATATCAGCATTCAACCAATTTTGTCTATGGTCGATTCTATTATCTACTTAATACCACCAGCCGCCATGTCGACCCATTGAAGACTAGCTAACAGTATATACCAAGTACATTTAGACATAGAGTTGAAAATTGAATAGCAACGAATACTTCACCATTCAAATAAACAAGCATCCAATTCAGCACAACATTTCCTTTCAACAATTTCTCTAAACACACGAAACCTTAAAACCAGTATTTATATCAGTGGGTTTGACAAAAGCAACTTTCTCTTCCATGACGACACTTAGATAACAACGAAGCAAAACGCGAACAAAGGAATGGATGTAAACAAATCGTGTGCTTTAACCTTACACGTGGCTTCCATCAAACTCCGATCAAAACCTTACAATGCTTGAACAGAGTTAATTTTATTGTTTTGAACATCGGACGCGTGTTGTCGTATTGTACGACAGGTCCACCCACGTAAGCCTGTATAAGGATGTCGATTGTAGAAGCATAACTACTGGTTCTCGATTTCAGTTTATATGGATGATACGGTTTTTTGTGGTGTAGATCAGGATTTAGGTATGTTAATGTGTTTTTAGATAACTTAGGTGTGTCGAATTTGTTTTAGTTACTCGTTGCTTTGAGTAGTACTTCTTAAATATTATAGGTGTTATGATATTGTGAGTACATAAGGGTTAATACCATTATGTTCCTTTTTTCTGTCGTTGAGCCGCGTTCCTATTTAAATGGTGATAGACGTTATGCAATAATAAATAAATAGTTGGGAACAAATCACGGTCACCTGGCCATCATTTAGGATTCCCTGTGTTATGGGTACCAAAGACTGATGAACATAATTATATGTGTTTAAATATTTATATATGTACATAGATAACAAGCACCTGGACAAAGTGCAAACAAACCTGTTCATCACACAATTGTTGCCCGATGTGGGAATCGAACCCGAGACCCTCAGCGTAACAGCCAGAGCCGCTAACTACTCTGCACTAACGAGTCAGTCAATTGCAATACAAATAGACTTCATACCTATATATAAAGTTGGGAATTAACATTCACATAATGTGTGTAGATTAGCCGATCACCACTGATCCACCAAGATCGCTGTGAGATTATCAGCCATAAAAAGGCGGTAAAAAAAATATCTTTTTTAATGCCATGGTAGGTAAGTGAGTCACCCGATGGGCGCTGTATACAATTAGATTCATCTACTATTTTTACAAAAGCCAGTTCACATGCCTAAATCCACAAAAACTGTCACAGCAGACCACCAGGAAACAATGAAGTAAAAGCCTTTGTCGTGTTCACCGAATGTTGAGAGAATGCTTATTGTAAGGACCTTTCTCTCAATATGTCAATGGGTCGACGAACCTACGCCCACAATCGCAATTAATGCAAAGAGGTCAGACAATCAGAGCAAAGCATTGGTACAAAAGAATTCGACCTCAGTTCTTAATTAATGTGATTATAAGATTTGTATTGGATTCGAATATGTCTGATCGAGATTGAAAGTATGTCTGGTTGTAATAGAATGGAAGCGAAATTGATCTGAATTTATAGCTGTCTGTAGTTCCATTATGTAGCAATATAGCAGACTAGGGCAATCTGTAGTGCATTCTTTAGAGAGAGAGAGAGAGGAGAGAGAGAGAAAATATTCTCTAGAGAAAATATTGTGCACAAGATAAATAAAAAATGCGAAACATTAAATAAAAAAGTACAAATGGCGGTCTTATCGCTAAGAGGGATCTCTTCCAGACAACCATCAGGTGGATAAGAATCATTTGGAAACAAGTTACACGCGGTGTACCTATCGATTGAAATTAATTAAATAAAGGAAAAGCGTCGTTTATATATTCTAAATATTTAGTTTTTATGATGGTTTTTATGTTTTTAAAGGGACAAATTAAGCCTGTATACATTTCAATGTGTGTGCCAAGTTGGAATGCGTTCTTAGTCGGCACACCGACCTTTCAAATCAAAACGCGTGATTGCTTTTCGGCAAAAATATCCATACTTTTACATTAAATCCTGCCATCAGCAAGCATCTATTTATTTTCTGTCAAAAATATTCAATTATCTTAATATAACTGATTAACCAAATAAGGCAGAAAATCAAAATTTCAATTAATAATTGCAACTACATTACACGTCTTTGCTCATTGAGATATAAACATCGCGAATATAAGTCAAGTTTATTTTAAATTGTGAAACGATTGCATTTGCTGTTAGCATTATGAAATGCGAGTATACTTTTCATTTCGTATTGCATGTGGTAGACCCGAAGGTACGCCTCGCAATTTTTGTAATTAACATAATAATATATTGAAATGCAAAATCGTTCAAGTTAAAACCATTAAAATTACACCATATTTTTGTACACATCGTACCTAAACGACAGGAATAGGAAGCAAGATTTAATGCCATACACGTAATAACTGTATTCAGCTAATTACCAGAACTATACTGATTGTAACTATACTGAGATCTTAGAACTTATATCTCAAAATGGGTGGCGCATTTACGTTTTAGATGTCTATGGGTTCCAGTAACCACTTAACACCAGGTGGGCTGTGAGCTCGTCCACCCATCTAAGCAATAAAAAAAAACCTTCACCTTTGTTACCACGAAAAGGCACTTCTAGAATCTATAAATCAACGGATCAATAATTATTGAGGTAGATATTTATCGGTCAACATAACACGTTCGCTTTCTGGCATTGCATGCGTGTCCTAGATTTAGGCTGCGTATAGGCTTAAGTTCAATCTTGCACCTAAGTAGGTATAGAACAAGTGAAAGTCGACGCGGGCTATGTTGATCTTGATGTTTCCGATACACTAAACCAGTATCCGGGTTTAGAAGAAGATTTTTTGTTTCTAAATTTTAACAGCATGGTGATTGTATTGTAATTACTGTTTGGCGTTATTGTAAATAGACGAATATCTAAATTTGAGTCTTAGTGTGAACTCTATACGCGAGTGAAGATTGTAAAGAATTCTTAGTTGGCAGTGGCGTGGCTATTTATAATGGTAACAATTAACAATCACATTGGCCGTAAAAGTACTTGCCAATCTACTGCAATGCAATTTTTATGACGTTAAGTTGTTAAGTTGCATGTTATGTAAGCGTCTACTACAGTTCTTAGACCACAACACGAATGGGGACCTGTTAAAATCCTGCCACTTGGATAAATTTGCTATCTTGTCCTCCCAACTTCTTTAGAAATCCATGTTAATAAAACTTTCGTATCGCCTACAATTTTAAATCTTGGCTCATTTATCTCAAGAATAATTAACACACCAACGCCATTAAATACCCTAAATGACTACAAAACCCAATTAAGTGAATGCTTTACAAATCAAACCTCATAAAACATCGCCCATAGAGACCCGTAACTGCCAAACGCCACAGCGTTGATTGCACAAGCTAAAATAGCACAACAGCAAATTCAAAATTAAGTTATTAAAAATAATTGTGGCGAGATCCAACACTGTACTGTATTTCACAATAGAAAAATCTGTGTCGTAACGAGATTTGAGCTCGGTACATGATCGTGTACATAAAATTGGACCTTGACTAGAACCACCCTGTCTAATTCGTAAGAAAAAAATCGTAGAGTTTTTAAGGGTAGTATAACAAGTTTAATTCTATCTAAACTTCGACCTAATGTCATAAAATCTACAGTCGCTTTTGTGTTGTCCAGTTACCGACTAAAAGAAGGTGGGCTCTGAATAGGTACGCCCACTATGAAACATAAATACGACATTTCAATAGTATTTCCTTCGGCTTTATCGAAAGCCGAAGTATCGAGTCGTAGACAAAATTAAAATTACTTTTACTATTCTACTACTACAGTACTACTATTCTACTACCACAGTACTACTATTCTACTACCACTACTACAGTATTCGTAGCTGTAACTGTAAAGTATTGGAAAGTCGAACTAAAAGTAATTTTAACTATTTTTCTATTTTAGTCTCAATCATCAATAGCAATAGTAATCCACAATTTGTTTTTGTGTTTTAATAAACGGAATTACCCATGTGAAGGTACAACACCGCCTTATATCTTAGTAACATTACATAATGTAGAACATAAGGCGGCTTTTTACCCATTGCTGTTCTTTATTAATAGCTTTATTATTAGGTTGTTTAAATACATGTCGTATTTATGTGTTATTCCACTAAATTTTACTCTGACACACAGGGTTAGTATTCAGGAAAAAAATTAAAAAATTCAATAAAAATTTTGAATTTTTATTTTATTAATACCTTTTTTGCTATTTTGTGAAAAAGATATTGAATAAAATGTATCATAAATTGATTGTCTATATTGTTAGCTTTCAAATGATACCTCTTTCGTCTTCTTAAGGCCTCTATGTCGATAACAATGATTAAATCAGTGCACGCGCATGAGCTGTGATGTAAAAAAAAAACAAAATAGCTGCCATTCTAGTATGGAGGGGCCAAGAGAAAATTGGGATAGGGATGTGTCGATAAAAATCCCCATATTTCACCCCCCTTAAGTCTCCAACACTGCTGCATGGACACATTGTATATATCTTGGGCTGTCATACACCGCATTATCACTTCTCCCCTACTTCTTCTACACTACAGAATCTACATGTTTGAACAGCAACCACATTTATCAGCAATCTGCGACCACATACAAAAATGTAGCCCGATTCTATAGTATCCTAGTCGCAAGTAATTATCTATTGACTAGTTTCTAAAAAGTAGTTGTCCTTAACTTTCACAGAAATAAGGCGATTGAACAGTGATAAACGGCATTAATATATAAGAAATTAACCAAATAGACACCTATTATTTACGAACATCTGACCATACATTGATTGATCGAACAAAAATACCCAATTTATGATCCCAACACAAATTACAGCATTCGTAGCCTTGAACGGTTTTTTTTTTTGTTTTTTTTTTAGCTTTCCGTTTTTTTAATTTTCTTTTTTTTGTTACAGAATTCACCAATCATCCCTGGGTATGTATTAAACTAATTTATACCTACATCACAAAAAGATATTAAAATAATTGTATGCCGTAACAGGATCTACAAGTTTTTCTGGTATCTATTGTGAAAACAAAATCGTGACTATTTTGTTCATGCTTGTAAATTGAGGATTGCTTGGGTATGGGGTATTTGGGGCTTAACGTCGAGGCTCTAGCGAGCTGTGTCTGATTAGTATTTTATGATATAAAATTGGCAATAAAATAATAACAGTCAGGTATAATTGAAGTGAATATAGCCCCTTATTTTTGAACGCTGTTTTGAACATCATGCTACTGATGCTTAATAATGATAAATAGAAGATTCACTGGATGCTAGAGATGCCAATAATGGAAGTATCAGACAGCTTTTTGACCAATAAGATATCAATCATTGAGCCGAAATGAAAATGAGGTTGGTAAGAGAGCGTTTGTTATCTATGAATGTGGAAGGATATAAAGAGGTAGACTAAGAAGAAATGGATGGATTGCGTGAAAAACGACATTTGTAAGAGGGGAGTGAGCGAAGAAATGGTACACGATAGAGGATTATGGAAGGAGAAAACATGTTGCGCCGACCCCACGTGACTGGGAGAACGGCAGGAAAATGATGATGAAAAATGATATACGTGAATCTAGTTTCATAGTTACCAACACAAGAATGCTGGACATCAGCAAACAGTGAACACAAGCTGGAACGCATGACTACTTAGTCTCAAGAATGAGAATATCGGTGACCCTGCTACCCACTAACCGCGTAATGAAATTCAGCTATGATTAAACAATGTTAACGTAATAATTAATTCAATAATTGCCCCTGCGTACAATAAAAACAGATTAGCATGTTAATGGTAAGCCAGAGCTATTGTAAGCTAATTCTATGTGAAAGCTTATTTTGAGTGACAGCTTGCGACATGTTCACGGGTTTATTAATGGCTTATTGATATCCTAAGGCCGTCAGAATTGACATTATAGTATTATTATAAACTAGCTAATGCCGCCAGCTTTTGGTGGCCAATATTTGATATGACTTTAATCTGATCATTACCAAACTGTGTATAATCACCTACTAGACCAATTCGAAGTTTCTCTGAAAATTTCATTGCAATCGGCAAACGCACACTCACACATCGACTTTTATATATACGGATGATAAGAGATCATTTTCACAGATCACTTTTGCCAAACACCATCCGACTCTAGACCCTGATCCAGTCTGCTGTTTCCCTTATACCCTGAAGGCTACATACCTATCTTAAAACGAGCCTTGTAAAGATTCCTAAGCAGCAAGTATCTAAACTGTGCTCTTGCCTTTGTTATGGTGGCTTCCATTAGTAACCGACCTTGAGATGCACTTCCTCTTCAGCTCCCTATGATTCCTATCTAAGGCGCTAGCAATACTTTCTATATCTGCAGCGAAGAAGAATGCAAAACTGAGACTTTAATTTACCTTAAGCTAGATGGTTGGATTTGTCCCACATACCCCGCGTGCCTCCTGGCACGCACACATTGTAGGAAGTTCAGGATCCTGCCCAAAAAAGACCTCACCCTAAAAGGACCTTACTCGTCATATTCTTTGTCGATAAGAGCAATACCCACGTCATAAAGTGAACTTCAGAGAACCTACTTTTCGGTAGGCAGCGGCTTGGCTCTGCCCCTGGCTTTGCTGAAGTCCATGGTCGCCGGTAACCACTCACCATCAGGTGGGCCGTATGCTCGTCTGCCTACAAGGGCAATAAAAAAAAACATTGAGCGAACGATAAACTCACACAGGTACTTGACGTAAAATTGTGCAATTTACAAACCCTCTTTTTTTCTAAAGTCGACACAAAACAGTCAAAAGAACAGTTCGAATTTCATTTTTATTCGCGTCGTTACGTAAGACGTGCTCAAATCGACATTTGCGAATGTGTCTGACGGTACCATTACAAAGCATTGTTGAATGGAGGCGTCAATGACTACACAACGCGAATGAAAAGATACGGTTGTTTTACGAAATGCCTAAGCCTCGTGTTGCAGTCTTAGTTAAATTTGCTAAGTCGCCGATACAAGACTTTTACTTTGTTAGCGTAAGACGAGTAATTAGTTAAAATGACGCTTATTGGAATAAGAACAAGGATTACATATCGCACTAAGAAACTTCTAAGACTAGTATATGACTATTGATCGACTTTCTTACACACAAGGTGATGAAGTATATAGAATATAAGTATAGCTTACAGTACGGTTTTCGTCAAGGCCGTTCAGCTGGTGATCATTTTGCATACCTTCATCCGCCGTATGCCGTCTACATAAAATGATGAGTATATTTTACTCGAAGTGACCAAACTAAGTAAGCACCCACTTGGGACACTGACCAATATTAATTGGTTATCGGTATTGGATATCCCAGGGAATGCCATTCGACTTGCGACGCAGGTCCAAAACTAAAAAGTATGGTTGTACATAGGTACACCCGGGCTATTTAGGCAAACATTAAAATGCATTTTGTTTTTTGTTTTATGAGATATCTCATTTTTAAGTTGCTTAAACCGAATTTACCTATTCACGTGGTAAATAAAATTCTTTAAATAACCTATTACCAAAACACAACAATTGCGGTAGGTATTATATCTCCACCAGAAAACCAAACGAAAACTCGGAGGCAGAACGAATTTAAAAATCAATTTTGACAGATCACACAACTTGTCATCGTGACAGCTCTGACAGCTAGACGATAAATCAAACGTCCGATTTCGCAGCTCGACAGCGACGTAGCATTTAAGCCGCATAACAATTACTCGTAGACCCATTGTCTTATTCAAGAGCCGAAGCCAGAGAAAAATTTGAATGGAGTGAAAGTTTGTCATACGATATCGTAATCATGAATGCTAACTGTTGCTTGAGATATATTCGAGTAATAAATGACAAAGCGATACTTTATAATTAAATTTATATGAAATATTATATTGTTTAAATATACGTAAATTTCTATGGAGACTCAGGCATGATGAAATTAGTGTTACGCCGGTAAGAGTAACGCCATCTATCGCCGAATAGTCAAACGAATATCGAAGGATCTAGTAGCACCTAGAACGCGCGAGAAGTACAACGCCATCTATTGTCAGATAGATGAAACACAATACTGGAAATGTGTTGAATATTCCCGATAATTCTAGGAATGTGGTATCGGCTATAAAATCGTGTTGCAGAGATGGCACGCAATTAGTTAGTAATCGGAACTACTCGAAGCGAAACAGCGAACGGAAGCGAAGCGGAAGAAGCGAATTGAGAGTTTAAAAAGTGCTCTAAGTGCTAATACAGTGTTAACTTGTAATTCAGTAGATTTTTTTATTTATCCCGAGCCCCAGCGCGTAACATTAGTTTATGATGAAATTGACTTAACAATAAGCTTGGTACAAGAATACGATGCCTGGTATAGTCGTATCATGCGATGCGACTATGTCTATGCGCAAATCCTGCAGACAGGTTAGTACCTGTATTTCGCAATAACAATTGGCATTGTCGTTATGAAACTTACTTATCCCATGCCCACAAATAATTTCCACAGTGAAGAAATACCATCGAATAATAACAATCAAACCCAATTTTTATTTATTTGCGCTGATAATAAACAAATGTGTTATAGACTCCAAATGGCACGATGTGTGTGGGGATTCACGTAACTTCTAAAGGCTTCGGTAGCCACTTGACACCAAGTGGACAGTGAGTTTATTCATCCGTCTACGGAATACAAAAAAAGTGAAAAGATCGGATATCATTGTTTTCAATATCTCAAACTCAATAAATCAGCTTGAAATTAATTACAAGCATATTAAAATTGTGTCACAAAGCTCAATATATGCTTGTCTTTTTAGGATATGTATTGCTTAAAAATAATTCAGTTTAAATTTGTTTCTCAAAAAGTCAAATCAAGAAATCTCAACTCCAAGTGCGAATTCGTATGAAAGTGTTTTTTTTTTATTGCTTAGTTGGGTGGACGAGCTCACAGCCCACCTGGTGTTAAGTGGTTACTGGAGCCCATAGACATCCACAACGTAAATGCGCCACCCACCTTGAGATATAAGTTCTAAGATCTCAGTATAGTTACAACGGCTGCCCCACCCTTCAAATCGAAACGCATTACTGCTTCACGGCAGAAATAGGTAGGGTGGTGGTACCCACCCGCGCGGACTCACAAGAGGTCCTACCACCAGTAATTACGCAAATTATAATTTGATGACAATCTTCACAATTCTCGTACTAAATAATACGAGCGTGGTATGTTTTTTTTTTGTTTATTTACTATCAACACATAGCATTTATGTACAGCATGATATTTTTCATCGTTATTCCTATAGACAGAACTTACACCTGCCAGTGCATCGAAAAATTACTTTTTTCGACATTAACACTGTAATAGCATTGTGTAACACGCAATTATCAAGGTCCTAATGATTTTCCGTTAACGATTTGACAGCTGTCTAGTTCACAATGACAGCTGTCAAACCGTTCAATACTTGGATTTATACATCGCGTCAGGGTGTGAAAATTTCAACAGTTAGTTTATTGACAATGTAGTAAGCATGCCAAAGGCTATTAACGTTAGGTTAAAAACACCACTACAGCTGTTGGTGGGTCGTTTTGTGTCAGCGGACGGGTAGGTACTGTTTCTGCCGTGAAGCATTGATGCGTTTCGGTTTGAAGTTTAGGGTAACCTTTGTACTATGAGGCGGGAAAGGAAAACCTCTTCTTCCTTCTTAGCGCCGTGCTGCTGCCACTAAGCCGGAAGCTGAGCCCTAGGAACCGGCCCCTATAGCAGGCAGTCTATTCAAATAATACTCCGGAATAGAATAAATTGTTAACGGTTTAATGCAAAGAGAAAAAAAAACAAAAGAAAGTGATTTACAAAAATAGAAACTTATTTATAGCAAAGACGGTGGCGATACAAGTGAGCAAATTGCAAACTATTTTAACATTATAGATTAGTTTAGAAATTATGTATACACATCTTCC